ACTCCTGCGCTCTGCTGACTTCCGCTTCTGACTACAGAAGTGCTAGAGGTGGCTCTTCTTTCACCTCCCCTCACTGTTGCAAGCACTCCTCCTCTAGCGGAAGTTACTGCCAGCTGACTTCAAGGGTTGGCACCTTCCCCCATCTTACCCACCTCCACTCTGGGAAACAAACACTGAAGACTCAAAAGTAACTACACAGACATGGGAAATTAGAAAGTCACTCTGCATGCTTAGGAAACACCTCACAAGACCTTAAATTCACACCTTGGCAAACAGACAGCCCTCAGTAAAGAAACAAACCCAAAACATCCCAGCAAATCCTGAGAAAGGGAAGAGAATATGATTTCCAGAGTTATCACATCACTAAACGCAAATATTTTGGTTTCTATCAGGGAAAAAAAAATCCCAAGGCATTATTAAAAAAATAGCAAAGTATGGCCCATTCAGAGGAAAAATATCAATCAATAGCAAGTGGCCTTGAGAAAGACCTAAGGACAGGTCTACTAGACAAAAACATTAAAACAACATGCTCTAACAAAAAGAAGATATGGAAAACTCAAGAAAAATGTGCACAAAACAGAAATATTAATGACAGAAAACCAAAAAAGAAGCCAAAAAGAAATTATGGAAATAAAAAGGACAATGACCAAAATTAACTTTTTATTAGATCCAAAGGTAGATGTGAGTTGGCCGAAGAAATAGTGAACTCAAAGACAGGACAACTGAAATTATTTAGTCAGAGAAACAGAAATACAAAGTGAATGGAGGCTAAGGGACCTGTGGGATGTGGGACAGCCAACACACATACACTGGATGAGTCCCAGCAGGAGGAAAAAAAAGGGGGCAGAAAGAATATCTGAAGAAACAATGGCTGAAAATTTCCCAAATTTGAAAATCATCAACACAGATACCCCTAAAATTATGACAGTGTTACATCCCGATAAACCACTCATGTGATAAAATATCATCTAGTCAAACTTGCTTTCCAACATCATAGCTCAGATCTAAATTGGTCCCCCAATCTCTGGTCTGGAAGGTGATAGGCCATGGGGTCTATACTCTTCAGTGGGTGAACATGCTGGACCTGGGCCACTGGGCTGTGCCCTGGAAGGATGGGAGGATATAGTCTTGTCTTCAGCTCTTTCTCTCTCTCTCTCTCTCTCTCTCTCTCTCTCTGCTTCCTGGCTACCATGGGGTGGGTGAGCAGCTGTCTTATAACCAAGCCTTTCCACTGTGCTGTTTCTCCTTGGAGCCAGCCAACCATGGTCTGAAACCATGCACCAAATGAACCTCTCTTCCTTTAAGCTATAGTCACTGGGTATAGTGTCTTGGCAATGAGGAAAGTAACCAAGACAGTGCAAATCTTACAATTAATTCATGAGGACTCCTCAAAACTGTCAAGGTCAACAGAAATACAGAAAGTCTGAAGAACTGCCACAAAGAAACAACTAAATATAATGTCTTGTCCTGAATGGAATCCTGGAACTAAAAGAGAACACTGAGTTGAATTTAAAGAAATCTTTATAGGCCGGGCATGATGGCGCACACCTGTAATCCCATCCATCACTCGGGAGGCTGAGGCAGGAGGATGGCTGTGAGTTCGAGACCAGCCTGGGCTATATAGTGAGTTCCAGGACAATCTCAACTATACAGTGAGATCCTGTCTCAAAAGATTAAAAAAAAAAAAGAAAAAGAAAAAGAAATCTTTATAAACTATGTGTAGACATTAGTTAAAAATCACATATCAGTATTGGTTCAATGATGGTAGCACATCTATCATTAACAATGCCAGATATTAATAACAGGGCAAATCCAGGTTATAAAGGAACTCTATTCTATCTAGCATTCTTAATTTCTTTATGTCAAGGCAATTCTAAACATAAAGTCTGTCTTGTAAAATAAGTAAGTAAATTTCCAAACAGTGCTCTATGAACTCTGCAAGCTGTGCATTTCACCTGTTCCCACGCTCCACTGGCTGTGACCCACATGATGTTAGGCCATCATCAGTATGTGGAAGGGACTTCAATGTTGCACAATTAAAATCATCAAATTTTGCTGGACTCATCATGGTCTAATTAATTTCCAAGCAGACAAAGCCAAAGTTATAGATGAGCTGACTATACCTCTTCATCCCTGCTGCCTCCCCAAGGCACGCAGGTCACTGCAGTCTGCCTCGTGCGGGCGCCGGGCTCACCTGCCTGCCTCACCAGCTCAGCCCCGCAGCTAAGCTCTGCCACATGGCTCTCTGAGCAAGAACCTGTTCTGCCTCTCTGTTCAGTCAGAAGCGCTCACTGGGCTTCCTACTGCCTTCCTCTTTCCTTCTCACTGAGGAGCCTGCTGCGTACCAAGAGCAGAAACTCCTTCGTCTGGAGGCCAAGTATCATGCCTAAATGACAGAACTCTTCCAGAGAGACAGTAAAATAGTAATTTTCAAAAATATTCCACTACAGTAATTAGGAATGATTTGCATGTGGCATGGCACTGGTGATAGCAAGTTCCTTGCACTGTAAATGACCATGGTGTACTCTGGATGTGAAAAGGATTACAATGGAATCTCCAGAAGATATTTCACATTGGGAAAATCTTGCAAATTTTATGCAGGATCCTTAAAGGTCATCTAAATGTAAATATTTAACCAATACTTATTAATCCTCTAGAATTTTTTTTAAGATTCATTTTGGGAAGATGGATGTGGCATCATGTGTTAGTTACTTTTCTCTCGCTGCTGAGACAAAATACCTGAGGGAAAAGAGTTTATTTGGTTACAGATTGCAGAAGTTTCAGACCATAATCTGCTGACTCTGAGGTAGGGAGGACAGGCAGGCAGGACAGAGCAGAAACAACATGGCACAGACACAAGGCAGCAAACATAACACATGAGTTTAATACCATCTTTCTGCCCTTTTATCTTATTCAGACTACCAGGACTGGGCAGTGCCAAACTACTCTTTCACGTGTAGTGGTTTAATAATTATACACCCTTAACCCCAGCATCACATATTCCAGACTCCTCCACCTCTGAAAAAGAAAGCCGCACCTCATCCGCGTAAGACTTTGAGGGACATCTCAACAGAAACCATAACATGCCACAGGCCAAATAATCCCTGCCTGGGTAACTCAGTGACTTGAGAACTCGTTTCAAATTAATAATTTTAGACAGATCATCTTAGGTTTTATACCACACAGTATCTTGAATCTGAAGGTATTTAAAATTTTTAAGGGCTGGGGATTTAGCTCAGCAGTTTGGTGGCCTGCCTTGCAAGCAAAAGGACCCGAGTTCAATCCCCAGTACCAAAAAAAAAAAAAAAAAATTTTTTTTTTTGAAGTGGATAAAAGAAAGAAATGCAACAATTTGGGAATTTTCAATATTCTATTTTATTTTATGGCATGTTCTTATTTCTGCACATCAACTTTATTAGAATCAGGAAAGTATGATATGATAGATGAGTGAGATGTATGAGTGGGTAGAGGTTTCCTGCTACAGAAAAAAAGAATGGTGAATGATAAAAGGATTTAATGATTAGCAGGTAACTAATGACATAAAATAGCAAACTTAGAGCAGTAAATATTTACCGATATATGAGTGAAGAGTGAATGAATGAGTAATAAGCAAGAAGGTAAGTGGGTACCAAAACTAGCAAGGAGGATGGACCATGTCTGATTTCAACAAGAAAGGAAAGCATACGAAGGTGAAGAGGCTGTTAATGCACTGAACATGGGACTCTCTGGGAAGTACCAGGATGACAGTCCCTGTGCCCTGGTAAATGGCCACTCAAAACCATAAAAAGAAACTGGCCTCATTCCCCACTGGTCAGCAAGTACTGAGTGGGAACCTGGACCTATCCTGCACCTGGCCATCATGAGGTCTGATGCCTGCCCACTGCTGCCCCCAGCTGCGGTGTCCTACAGACTACACAGAAGCCTGGACTCACCCTGCCCCAGCAGGAACAAGGTGCTTCTCCTGGGCATGCCTGGGCGATGTCAGAGGAAGCTTAACAGAGAGCAAGGACTGCAGACACTGCCCAATGCGATACAGCCCCCACTGCCACCCCAGATGTCAGTGGAAGCAGTGAAGAGATGACCAGCCTAAACCCCTGCCCTCTCTTGGAAGTCACACACCTGAACCCAGAAGAAATCAGATGACAACCTTCTATCCTGTCCCCACTGGTATAATGTTTAAAAAGAAGATCGAAGTAAGATACACAGTCCCATACCAGAGCAACCAAATGACCAGGATATAGCCAAGTCACTGGTCATACCAAGAAACCGGAAAAATCTCACCTTAAATGGAAAAAGACAATCAAATGTCAAGATGATGTTTGTGACAAAAGTTTTAAAGCAGCCATCATAAATATGCTTCTATGAGCAATTACAAACACAACTAATATATGTAGAAAGTAGAAAGTTAAATAAAAGAAAGAATAACCAAATGGAAATTTTGGAACTCACAAATATGATAGCTAAAATAATAAAACTTAATGGATTCAAGAGCAGAGGAGAGAGTCAATGAACCTGTAAAAAAAAAGTCTAATGTTTATGTCATCAGAATCCCAAAAAGTTGAGAAAGAAGGTGGGGCTATAAAAGTTTTTGAAGAGACAATGGTTGAAATTTCTCCAACTATGTAAAGGACCTAAACTCATGGATTCAAGAAAATGAGCAAACCTACAACAAAAGAATTAATTTTTTTTTGTTGTTGTTGTTACCAGGGATTGAACTCTGGTCCTTGCGCTTACAAAGCTGGTGGCGGAACCATTGAGCTAAATCCCCGGCTAAATGGCTTCTTGATTTTTTTTTTTTTTTTTTTTTTTTTTTTTGTTAAAAAAAGAATTAAAAGAAGTCCGGACTAGGACAAAAAGTCAAACTTCTAAAAACTGAAAAAAAAAAAAAAATTAATTTTAAAAGCAATGAAAGAAGAAACAACACTTTAACTATAGAAGAAAAACAAACTAAAGAGAAAATTTCATCAGATACCAGGGAAGCCAGAAGTCTTGAAAGAAGAAAAATGTCAATTCAGAATTGTTTTTTTAATCTATCAAAAACAACCTTGAAGGGCAAGGCTTATCCACTGCACTCCGGATTGCTGACCCCTGTGATTTCCCCAAATGTGGGAAACTCAACTGCATAATTTGTGGTAGTGGGGAAGGACTGCATTCGCGCTCTCCCCTAAAAACAACAACAACAACAAAAAAAAACCTTGAAGAAGAAGGAACTAAGCACTGCCACATGAAGGAAAACTAGTAAGACTTGTTGCTATCAAACTGACTAAAAGAGCTGTTAAAGGAAATTCTTCATACAGATGGGGAAGATTCCAAAGGAAATTTGGACCATCAGGAAGAAAAAACAACAAAAAGACAAAAAAAAAAAAGTAAATACAATAAATAAGTTTTTCTTCTCAAGTTTTCCTTATAAATTATATTTGATTGTTGAAAGAAAAATACACAATCCCATGTGGATTTCAATACACATGTAGGAAATATTTAAGACATTATAAGTGAGAGAAAGAGACTCAAAGAGAGAAAAAGGTTTTACATTTCACTCAAATAGTAAAATGTTGACACCAGTAGACTGACATGTGTGTAATGTAAAATTCAGAGCAACCACAATAAATTCTATATAGGGAGACAAACTCAACATGGAATTCTAAACTGACTGTCAGAACAAATTTTAAAAACAAGATTCAATTATGTGTTGTCTCTAAGAAACTCACTTCAGATCTAGTGATATTGATACATTGAAAGCAAAATGATGGGAAACAATGGAACATGTAGACACTGATCAAAAGAAAGTAGAAGTGGCCTTTTCAAGTATGCTCCAAGGCAAAGAAAATTTCTAGGGCTATTACATAATGGAAAAAGATCAAACCTACCAGAAGAGGATGAACTCTTAAATGTGTAAGAATCAACATGGTTGCTTAATATGTGAAGCAAAAACTAGAAGAACTGCAAGAAGACATAAAGAAATCTGGGGTTACAGTTGGGAGACTTCGATGTTACATTTTTCAGCAATTGATAGGATTATACAGGTAATCACCAAGGGTACCAAGAAAACTCAACATTACAACCAATGGAAAGAATTAGATATTTACTGGACACGCCCCCAAATATAGCAGAATACACTTTCTTTGCCAGCACACAAAAGGCATTTACCAAGATGAACCCTGTCTAAGTCCAGAAAACAAACCTTAACAAATCTAAAAATACCGAAATACATTTGTTCTTTGACCATAACAGAAACAAACTAGAAATCCATAGGAGAAAGAAAACAAAATCTCCAAACATCAGGCAACAAAAGGACAAACTACTAAGTAATCCTCAGGCCAAAAAAGAAATCAAAAAAGAAAAACAACTGACAGAACAAGAGTTAAAATAAAATGCATAAAAAAACTTGGACATAGCTGGAGAAGGGCTGAGGGAACATTTGTAGCATTATATGGTATCTTAAAAGACAGGAAAAGTTAATAATTTAAGTTCTCATCTTAGGAAAGTACAAAAAAGGCAAAGAAGCCTAAGATACACAGAAAGAAGGGCATAACAAGAAAGAACAGTTATGAATACTGAAAGAAGAATGAAATCAATGAAAGAAAAAGTGGGGGGACTTAACCCAGAGCCTTCATACTGAGCTACATCCACAGCCCCTTTTATTTTTTAAATTTTGAACACGGTCTCACTAAGTTGCTAAGTTCCCCCGGTTGGACTTCAACTTGTGATCCTCCTGCCTCAGCCTCCCAAAGAGCTGGGATCACAGATGTGTTCTACTATACTATACACATAGGTGTGCCCAGCTATGTGTATGCATCTCATGCAATTCAGCAGAATCTCTCAAGGGCCTGCAAGCCATTCCTTTGAAAAGTCATTATCAAAAAGAATTAAGTTCTCCATCTTTCACACTGCATGTGCCTTGGATGAACCCCAGCCTACCGACACAGCTGGCCTACAGGAGCCAGTCCTTTTGCATCTTTTCCTTCTGTGATTCAAGGCTCAAGTCCCCCCTTCCCTTTACAAATGCCCAGACCACACTGGCTCTGCTCTTCTCTCATTAGGCATTTTTTAAAAAGCATAATTTCTACATTCCTACCTGCTACATAAGATGTTTTACCGTCCTATGAAAAACCCCGAAGTCTAACAAGGGGCGGCTACTGAGAAGATGGAACCAAAACCTCAAACCCATGGAACTCTGGATTCGGGACCAGCAGCAACAGAGACTGAGGTCAAGAGTGAAGGAAGCTGAGCATGAGACTTCAAAACAGAACTAAACAGTAAAGAACCTCACAAGGAAAGTGGCACAGGTAAGGCCCAAAAGAGTTTTGATCCCACCAACTCCCCAAGCCCTTAAAGTCCTCCTTGCAGAATCAGGAGACAAGAGCTAAGCGTGCTTCGCGCCTCCCTGTCACACAGCCTTCAATAGCACACTTTCTTCTTGTAAAAACCAGTGCCATGGTCCTGGCTTCTGTACACATCAGTATCGATGTCAGTTAAGGAAAAGGGTTTCACTTAAATCCACGTTCATAAGAAAATCCCTCAAAACTCAACTTAGAAAAGAATATGTGAAGAAAAACTACAGCTGACATCAAATGAAGTGGCGAGAGCATGAATGCTTTCCTCCTATGCCCAGGAAAGAGGTTAGGATTGGCCATCTCGCTCAGGCAAGCTATGAGGTTTGGAAAGCTCTAGGCCTGGTAAATAAGTGAGAAAAGAAAACAAAAGGCCAACGATCGGAAAGAGAAAATTTCTCCTATTTGCAAATGACATAATGGTCTCTGCAGTATATCTAAGGAAAATTAGCAAAACCAATAAGTAAACAAACAAACAAACAAAAAACTCCTAGAATAAGTGAGGTTGGCAAGTTTGCAGAATATAAGATTAAAATATAAAAATCAATTCTATTTCTGTATACTAGCAGTGAAAAAAAGAAAATAGAGCACCATTTATAACTGTTCAAAAATGACTTGGATATAAATTTAACAAAACATGTTAGGACTTGTACACTGAAAACTACAAAATGCTGATCTTAAAGAAACCAAAGATCTAAATAAATGGAGAGAAAGAGTGTGTTCTTAAGACGCAAATTAAGACACAAAAATGTATTAGCACAGTCAACTATAAAATTAATAACAATACCAAATGCTAAAGCGGAAGCAGAGGAGCTGCATTTTCCCCACACTGCTGGTGAGAACATAAAGTGGTACAAACTACTGACATTTGCAGGAACGGGGAGGAACATGCTGGGTGAAAACAAGGTCAATCTCCAAAGGCTACATACTTTACAGTTCTGTTTATACCATTCTCCAGATGAAAAATCACGAGGGGGGAACAGACTAGTGGTTATAAAAAGCTAGGGCTAGTTAAGAGTGGAGGTGGACTGGTCTACAGAGGAACCATGTGAGAACGATCTTCATGATCGTAGAACAGTTTCGTTTCTTGTTGTATGTTTCTGGTGCTGGGATGGAACCCAGGACCCCGTGCACAGTAAACACACACTCTCCCACTGAGCTACACCCAAGCCCCAGCTTTGGATCTGAACCATGGTGGTGGCTATGTGACTACAAACATGACAAAAATCACACACACACACACACACACACACACACACACACACACACACACACACTTAAAATCAGTGAAATCTGTAAGGACAAGGAGTTGTGCCAATGTCACTTTCTTGGTTTTGATAACACACTGTAGTCACATAACACGGTACCACTTGGGAAAACAAGGTGATGGGGTATGATATCTCTTCTGTACTGTTTTTGCAATTTCCTAAGAATGTCTACACTTAGTTTAAAATAAAAGGACTTAGTTTTCAGTTTTCTTTTGGAGCAGTCTTGGTGTAACACATAGGAAAACAGTCCTTCAGCCAGGGTGTGACTTGCACTGCCTTTCAGAAGCCCTGTGGTTACCAGCAGAAACTAAGCAACATCATCCAGCTTGTGAGACCACAGTTGGAGCTGATGGACCAAATATGAGAGGCCACACCTCCCTAAGACGCTGTACCTATTTCCATTTTTTTCACTCAACACTGGTATCAGGAGCAGAGAGTAGGGCATGATTAGAAAACTATGGAGGTTCATACTTTGATATCAACAATGAAAAGGAAAAGACCCACCAGGAAATACATAATTGGAGATAGGCGTGGTGGTGCACACCTATATTCCCAGCACTCTGGGGGGCTGAGGCAGGAGGATCACAAGTTTGAGCCCAGTCCAGGTAATTTAGCAACTTAGTGAGACTTCCCTCAAATTAAAAAAAAAAAAAATATATATATATATCTATATATACATATATATAGATATATATATATTGATGATGATGATGATGATGATGATGATGATGATGATGGCTGCAGATTTAGCCCAGTGTGAATGCCCTGAGTTTAATCTCTAAGTACTGCCACCCTCAAAAAACAACAACAATACACACACAGTTGGAAATAATCAAATTCTTACACTTAGAACGGGTTTCTGTATTTTTTCCTCACAGCGCTGATTCCCAAGCTGTGAGACTAGAATATTCACTGGGGTGCTACAGGATGTTTTCAATTTGGGTGGGAAAAATAGTGATACTGAGCATTTGTCGGGCACCACGCAAGCTAACAGCTCAAGACACACCAGTTTCAATCTGAGGTTGTCCTACATTTATTTCTATCGAGTCATAACTAGAACTGGTAGGTACTTCTTGACCTACAGTTCTTATGAAACAAATTACTGAGGCACGGAGGTACCATGAATAAGTTTGGGAACACATGTATCAGGGTGTGGCTGAGGTTTAATCAGTTTCAAAGCATCCTGGAGCACACGTCTTGGTCATCTTTCTCACTGTATGCATTGTGAGCACAATCTCTCTTAACCTGGATTCCATAATCTGCTGCCTGTGTCCTTAAAGGAACATGATTTCCAGGTAGTGCAATCAACTTACTTGCTCTTTACTCATATGACCACAAAGAAACAAATAAAAAGCAAACGTGCAAACAACCATGGTGAGAGACATTGCACTACTTCCTAAGGGAGTCACACTGGGGCCCTCCGGTGTGTGAAGGCTCTCATTTAACACTGTCAAACGTACCCGGCACCTCTCCACTCCCACAGCCTTTGTATATTGGATGCTCACCATTTCACTCTCAGATCACTAGACTATCGCACCACTTTTTAGCTGGTTTCTTATATTATTGCAAATCCGTCCTCTATAATGCTGCTAGACAGCCACTTCCCTAATTAAAACCCTGCAGTGCCCCCCAAACCCTACAGAAAAAGCATTTCAGATGCCATTCAACGCTGTCTGTGATCTTGCCCCAGCCTAAGGTCCCCTTTCCTTGTCACCCCTCTTGACCTCCAGCTGCCCAAACTCCCATGGTTCTCCAGTGCACCTCTGTGCTTCTCTGAGGATGTCTGCACATGTTTTCCTCCTAATGCTCTTCCCCAGGCCTCACTCAGATCCAGGTAAACAGCAGCTGCTCCATGAAACCTCTCCTGGTGGCTCTCACAACCCTTCCGACCACTCTCTTCACTTACCTAGTCTTCTGTTACATCATTTTTGAAGGTAGGGGCTATTTTTTACTCATCTTTTCATTCTTAGTGGCCAGAGCAGCACCAGACACACATGCATATTCAACAGGCATTAAGCAAAACAGTGATGCACTATCTCAGACTCTCCTCTGTTTTTATTTTTTAAGATTTATTTTGGTAAATTTATTTTCTTTGTAGCTACTTTAACATTTCACACCCCAGGTCTTTTTTGCTGTGTTCTTCCTAAATGGTTAAGTCTGTGACAGACAACACAGGTCGGATATACAATCACAGGACAAGCCTTCTTACCTCATACTTATTTGAGACTAGAGTTTGTGAGATTTTAATCAAGTGCTTCCATATTATTAAATATCATTAACCTGAGAAGTTGTGCAGGAAGCCACTTAGCTTATTGTGAGGGGAAAAGTGAATCTTTCATTGTTCAAATTAGGCCTGACTTGACTTACATAAAAAGCACTTGGCTAAATAGACAACACAGTTCATTCTTGACCTTATTACTTTCTGGTACTAACTTACTGTTTCAGTGGTGCAGCTCACATACCATAGAATTCAGCCTTCTAAAGTGTACAATCCAGTGGTTTTTAATATAGTCATGAAGTTGTACAACCAATATGTTACAATTCCAGAACATTTCCATCACCCCAAAAAGAAGCCCACACCCACTGGCAGGTCCCTTCCCAGTCTGCTCTTCCTCCAGCCTCCGGCAACCACCAATCTACTTCCTGTTTCTATGGATTTGCCTGTGAATGCAACCATGTAATACATGTTGTGTCTGTGGATTCCTGTGAATGCAACCATATAATACATGTAGTGTCTGGCATTACTCACCTAGAAATTACATTTTCAAGGACTAACCATGTCCATTTCTTAAAAGAATTTCTTTAATGGAGAACATGAACAGAAAACGAGGCAGAGAGTACTATGACTATTTAGTCTCACCCATCCACATAGCCATGGCTCCTCACTTTATATCAGCCTGAATCAAATCCTAAACATCATGTTATCTGTCAACACGTCAGCAAGAATATAACCATATGGCAGCTCCATGAACACTGTATGAAGGGCTTTTTCATCTTAGTTGAGTGGCCCACCTCTACCAAGAACCACATTGTGCCTTTGCCAGACATTTCTTACTTTAAAAACACAGCAGATTAGGGTATTTGTTTGGTAAAGGAGAAAAGAAGAAATAGTATCACAAGCTACAATCCCAAACAAATTTCTCCAGATGCCGAAACTCAAAGCATCTGAAACTTGATAAATTCTTCAATATTTTTTCTGACAGCCAGAACCTCATACGGGGGTTGTTTACTATTTCAGCTTTTGTCATCCCAGAAAAAGACTAGAGGTTATTACAAGGGTATTTTGTTTTTGTTTTTAGCATGCACCTTTCTAAAAATTCCAAACCAGAAAGTACTTCAAGATGACTAGATGAGGGCAAAACAGAAGCAATTTCCCACAGAAGAGTTTATGAACCTTAGAAATGAAATCAGGGCTTTTTCTTTTTAGGATTTTGCCAATGTTTTAGGAAAGGTAGCAGAAAAGCAGATGTTTACCATAATAAAGTGAGGAGAAAGTAAATTAAAAAGTAGAAGAAAGTATAAAGAAAAAAGACTCACACACGTTTGAGTCACTCTTACCTTTCTGTGCGCTATCAAGAGGCAGTTGGAATGTTCGTGTTCACATGCGATTTCATAGTCAGGGATCAAATCCACCAACTCACGGACAAAGCGGACAACCTCCTCGTGCCAGGGCACATTGGCCATGGTCAAGCTGCTCGCTGAACTTTCTCCACAGTAGGTAACACCCTGAAAAACATCACAACAGTTAGGGATGGTCACAGAGTAAGAAGTCAGAGCCCGGAAGTCATCGAGGTCATCTAATCCAATCCAATCCAACCCAGACTTTAAAATGAAAAGGTGACAGATAAAGAGTGCTGAGACCATCCAAGGTGTTGGTGACAAAGGCAGCACAGGGGGACCCAAGCCAATGTTTTGTGCTATGTGACCCCACTGCCATCTAGGCACTATAATGTATTGGTATCAACAGGGTATCTTCCCATGTAAAGTCACTCGTGCATTGTAGCAGATTAATTCGGAAGGACTCTCAATCCTCTAGTATAGCAGAGCTTTTAATGATACAAACCACCCACTGCAGCATGCATGCCATAGGCTTGCCACCACTGCCCTAGTACATAATAGTGAATGAACACATTCTCCGATGTAACTGAGATTGAGACTGCCACACTTTAGACGCCCATAAAAATTCACTGACCAACTAAGTCACTGGGAAAATGAGGCGAGCTGCCATTCCCCAGTATAACTGAGACTGAAACCATAGCACTTTTTGTGCTTTTTTCTGTAAAGGGCCAAACAGGGATCCCTTTGAGATTATCCTTTAGGGAGATCACTTTGTGATGTACTTTGAATAGGAATAACTATAAACAGAGAGCCACGCCAAAAGAGAAATGTATTTGTGGGTACACCTCCATGCCCCACCAAACACCTATACATACATAATTTATCCTGCCAATAGAGGAATTCCTAGAAATAAAGCCAGAAAAAGACAAGCCAGCTTCTAACTCTTTTGAACTCTGCCTGACAGCTGAGGCAGATCTCAAAAGTTTCGTAACTAGTCCTCTAGATTGGTAAATTACATAATGACACAGGAATGATTTTCTAATAATAAGGAACTCTTCAAATACCCGCAAATCAAACTTTCTTGACAAATGGTTTGAACGTCTTCGAGGTAGTTAGAAATGAAATAAAAAGGGACATGCAGTGCGCACACATGGCTTCTCTGGCCTCCCACACACATACACACACACACACACACACACACACACACACACACACACTAGAAGAGGCAGAATGACATTAAAATTTTTTTTTTTTTTAGCTTTGAGTTTATTGGTACATTTTAAGGATACAGTACAGTTACATTCATTGTTGGGATCTTGTACCTCTACATGACAAGTCGATTCTCATTTTTTCCCCTTACCCCTGCCCTCCCTTCACCCCCTCCCCCATCCCCATTTACAAACACTTTATTTTCATCTTTTCATTCTCTCACATTTTTTAGAATGACATTAAATTTTAAAAAACCCACAAATGAGCACTGCAAAGTGACCCTGCCCCACAGATGGTGGAGCTGGGTCTTGGCTGAAGACTCCGATGAGCTCTGTGAAATGCGCTGCTCCAGATGGCTGTTCAAAAGGATCACTGGTACATAAACCACGATGGGCTTTGCCGAATATAAACTACCCACAGCCGGCTTAATTACAACAAACAAGAAAACCTTCTCTATTTGCCCACTGATTTACAGAATTCATTAAACTCTGTTTTAGGTGAATTTTTAAAAAAGCAAATAATAATATAGTTTAAAGTACCATTAAAGAAATTGCTGAAAAACTGCTAAACTCTCCCAAATGCAAAAGAAAATGGAAAATGATTTACTGATAGGTCATAAAATACACTTAGCTTCAATTTAAATACTGCTTATGTTACGTGAATTATACAATCATGTACATAATTATTTCAAAGGAATTTCTTATTAATATATAAAAAGTTCACTTGAAGCTCGGAGACTTCAGATAAGATTGTGTAGTCATAACAATGGCTCTTAAAAATATTTTAATTTTTTTTATTCAGCAATAATAAATCATGAAACATTAAGGAAGATTTGGTATGGAAATAGTATAAGAAAATGAATGCCACGGCTCATTGTTAATGCCTTCTAAGAATACTTATCCTGACAGTCTATGATGCTTTATAATTTATAAGACTCTTCCACACAGGCGTTCTCCTTTCACTCAGTCAAAAGAATGGAGTTAATATGAGAAAATGAAAAAATGGAAACAAAGTCTTTGTAAATGGGGGAGGTGGAGGGGTTAAAGGGAGGTCAGGGGAGTGAGGAAAAAAATAAGAACCAAGATAGATTATGTAAAGGTACAACTTTTCAGTGATGAATGTCATTATATTGTATACCTAAAATGTACCAATAAAATTAAGTTTAAAAAAAACCTTCTGAGGTAAGTAGTACTGGGTCAGCTGGTGCTCTGTTGTGACAAAAAAATGCTCTGAGTAGAAAACGGCCTCAAGGAATTGGTGAATGACTCTCACTCCGTTTTGGTCTGCTGGCCTCCCTGCTTCCACCACTTCTCTTCAGCCTACACTCTACCAATGGCTCTGCTCTGACTTTACTCCTGAGCACACCTGAGCCTGAATTATCTAAAACCACTTTGTTCTCCCCTTGCATCGTGGCTGTCTGCCACCTTCCCCTCCACTGCCCCATTTATCACCAGCAGCAAGGTCCTCCCCAACATCTGTGCACCAAGACAACTGGGGGAAACAAAAGACTGCGATGTGGAGCTCCAAGAACACTGACTCACTCACTCCAGACTCTACAGGTGGAGGGATGACAAGGAGATAGGAAGGGAGCTGGGAGAACAGGACCGTAACACATCACCCACGCCCTGGGTGACTTGGTGACATTCTGATGCATCTCACTGCTCTAGGGGACCGGAGCCATAAAGGCTGTGTTTTACTGGCTGCTTGGGAAGTATGCCTTGGGATTTATGTCCTGAGGGAAGAGCAGAATTTCCAGTTTGACTATTTGGTATTCTATTTAAACTGAGTATCAAGAAATTTCTAATACCATTTGTTTGATACAAAAGAAATACGTTATGAAGTATTTTTTGGCAATATACCCAAAAACATGTCATTCCTTTAAGTCAAACATGCTTCAATACCCCCCCTCCAAATCCAGCCCTACTGTCTCAGCACAGCACACAAAGCCTTCCTCGCCTTCCTCTGTAGCCTTCTAACCAAGGATCCGTGAGCCCTTGCTCAACCCCCACACGTACAAGCGAACCTGAAGTTGAGCTGTGCTAGTCATCCGGGAACCTTGCCCCACCTGGCCTCAGTCTTATCACACACCTGGTGACCAGTGTGAGGCTGTGAGGGCCCAAGGAGCTCCCGGGCAGCGCGCAGGGAGCCCAAGATCGAGCCCTAAACTTCTGCACCGAACCAACCTCCAGAGCTCTTTGTAGCACACTCTCTCATTAGTGTAATTCAGGGTTTCTACTCCTTCCTGACTATGAACCAACTGCTAGACAAGACTCAGGCACTGTGACCTCGGTGAACAGCAGCAAAGCCCCTTACCCTTGTGTGGAGAAAGAGGCTGAGCTGTGCGTGCTAGGACGAACCTTTTGTGAGGCACGTGCTGTAGAGATTGAGCACAGTGGACAGGCACGTTGCTATGGAAAGCAGGTGAAATCGTTTGACAACAAATAATTACTGAGCACTTGCTGTTCTCAAGGTGCGATGTGAGGCAGAGAATACAATGACAGCATTTCACTTACAAAGGGATTGTTATGAAAGTTTTCAATAAAGCAGATGTTTGTAATATGAAACACATCTTTACAAACAAGCAAGCAAATGACAGTTATAAGAGTCTCAGGCTAGCAAAGAAAGGTCTACTTAAGCCTAATGAAGCTAAAATACATGTTAATTTACAGGAAATACAACAAAAATGGTTTACAGACTGGCAAGCAAAGAAAAGAGGAAATCAATATCATAAAGAAATAGCTTTTTTATTTAGTTTCAATAAATGTGCCTATTGGAAAGTGATCTCAACATTTACTGAACACAGGAATAGGCTACTCCAATTCTCAAAACAAACCTCTTAAACAGATGCTATTATTCTAATTTTTGTATTGTAGTATTGAGAAAATTTAGGCTCAAGGAAATTAAGTAATTGGCCCCAGGCCACATCCCTCCATTTCAGGGATGCATCCACACTGCTCTTCCAATTCCCCATTTGAGACTGCAGGTTGTGCAAGACCACGAGGTGCCCCAAGGACCCCCACGTACCCACAGGTGGGCAAGGAGATGGAGAGGACAGACTGGCCACAGCACCATCCCTGACTATTTCTGTTCTTGACCCAAGGGTGTTACTACCATGACTTACACAACCACTGTTACAGCGATTCTTTTCCTTTAAGCTCACAAATAGATGAAAAGAGAACGTGGGAAGAAGATGGAAAAAGGATGACAGAATTTCCTATAGAGCTCCTAATCCTACCACTAAGCAAGGTTAGAGCTAGAAGACAAAAATGACAGAAAGAAGTTGAACAGACATATTTGTGGAGAAACCTAAAGTATATTTAGTAAACTGTAAACAGTTCAGTACAATAGTCTGAACACTCACCTATGTTTCTCTCTAAATAATAAAAAGCAACCCAGCTGAAATGCAGAAAAGACAGTAACAGCAACATGTGCTTCTGAGGAAGCCCTGGGTACATCACCAGCCAGGGGCAACATGTATTATTAATTACATGTCTCGGGGGCACTGACATAACCTTGAGGTACGATTAAATTTGAACTCCAGATCCCTTTGAGGTTCAAAGGGAGACTGGGGAGACTTTTCATTTTTTACCAAAAGCACAGGTAAGGAACAAGCCTTCCGAGTGCTGGTCTGGGTAGGTGGGCAGACTGCTTCCTAATCCAGCTGGGCACTGACGGTGAAAGCACACAACCCTCCTCTAAGCCCAAGTCCCCACTGGGTCTGCAGAGGACCACCAGGACAATCTCCTCTCTTCTGCCCGCCCCCAAGGGCTTTCCTTACAGGCCTTGACAGATCAGCTGTGTTCTCAAAAGCACATTTTTCCCTAACATATTCAATTCTGTGTGTTTATTTCCAGAGAGATTTCAGGTTATCTTAGCCTGCCATATTGTTAGTTCTCATCAAATGTGGGGTTTTTTTTTAAAGGACTTATTATTTTTAAAACGCTTCCATTTTAGAAAAA